CACTGACCACCGAGCTACCACAACCCATAAACAAGAACATATGGCTATTGCTTAAAACAATAAAATGCCTGGTCTGTCACTGGCAACAATTTAAAGCAGAGTTTAAAAGATGTTGTTGACTCAACAGTTTACTGAATACCCAGTATTTACAGAAATGTATCAACAGCTAATCTGATTAGTTTATGTCCTCTCTTCGGAAAAAAAAAAAAACACTATATGTTTGGAGAATAGTTCCTCTGGGAACTCACACTGTCATACTTCAGTGTAGAAAACACTCCTCAAGAGGAATATAATATAATGAGCAGAAAACACAGAGCACATTAAAGTTTAGTTGCTATGACTCAGTTCCCTCAAGAGCCCAAATTGCAACTCAGAGCTTTGCAGAGAAAGATGATGCTGGATATTGGTGCAGCCATAAAATGAATATGTCTAATATGTGCGTGAGTGAGTGGCTGAGCCCCTGAAGAACATAAAGTTTGGTTGTTGTGGACAAAACATACACAGTGACCAATTCTCTTAACAGAAGGCCAACTGTAACTGGCACCATACACAATGCTGGAAGCCATTAGATATGCTGCATGTATGGGTTGTTTCATGTCCTGAGAGTACAGCCGGCACACACACTTTCAAACACACACAGATGCATGCACATGCAAACATATATCCACTGCGGGGAAAGAAAATTGTGAGTTCAATCGTCTGATAATTTCTGCACTTTACAGCCTTTTCCAGTGAAGCAGAATGATGCTCCCTGAGTCCTCTGGCTCCCCGGTGACAAYGAATCAGTCACTGGCCAGCTAATATTATTCTGAGCTGTCCTCTGATACACTCTTGCTTTCATGATGAACAAGTTAGTCAGATTGCATTTTTAAAATGACTTTGATGTGTGTAAAAATGGTTTTTTTTTTCTTTTACAAAGATTTTAGCAAAAAAAACTCCTTCAGGCACCTGAAATTGCAAAATATACATCACTGTTTTTTTTTTCAGATTAAACTTTCTGTTTACAACTTGCTACTTAGCCCTACTTTTTCAGTTCTTCCCTGTATATTAGGGGTGTAAGAAAATATTGATACACTGAAATATCGCGATATTTCATTTCCCAATACTGTATCGATATTCTAAAGCCCTGTATCGATTTTTAATTAAGGTTTAAAATGTCAACCTTCTTGCCAACCGTTCATTTTTATGTTGTAGTTCAGCCTCTGACCACTAGTTGGCAGCAGTGAGCCAGCCATTTTGCTCCTCTACCTCTTGAGCACCAGAGAGTAAGGGTAGCATTAGCATTGTAAGTAAACATTAGCTTTTCTTTTTTTTTCCAGTAAAGAGGTTTTTATTTAATAGAATTTTTGGACAAAAAAATCGCAATACATCGCAATATATTGCCTTGCTTACAGTATCGCAGTATATRGGGATATATCGTATCGTGACCCCTCTGTTATGATATGTATCGCATCGCCAAATTCTTGCCAATACACAGCCCTACTGTATATTATCAATGATATAACTATAAACTTAATTTTTGCTGCTTTTCTGTCTCAACGATAATGGTTTCATACAAACACACTAAAGAAACTGCACCTTCTCKTAGAAAATTCTTTCAAACTACGTCAAATCCACTTCTCTTGAGAGTAAAAACAGTCTGTATTATTGCTAAGAACAGTCCAGATATGAGGCCTGCCCCAGACATACAGGCAAAGAGCTTCTTTCCACAAGGTTACTTGGATAAAAAAGACCAATCTAGAGGTTCAAAACAATAAACTTGAAAGGCACTTTTATGTCTTTGTGGTTCTGGGCTCAGGAGMTTCCTACATTCTGTTGCTCAGGGTGAACTGTGGGAGAACAGAAAACTACTTTTCAGCAGCAACTTTACTTCCTACCCCTCAAAAAAATAAATAAATAAGTCTATGGTCCAGTGAGAATTATACCATGCGGTTTCCAGGGAATATGTTTTCTTCAAGCTAGACAATCTCTATCTCAAGAGAGCCAGCAGTCTTTACCCATGGAGTCCATCAGAGATGGAAGTGTTGCACTGAGCCAGCAAAATGGCTGACTGCAGCAGCTCAAAACCATCAATTTAAGAAGCAGCTCTCCACTACAAGATAATGTGTACTGATTCAGTTAAAAAAGGGAGGGGGGGGGGTATTATATATTTTCCAGGCAAATAGTTCAATTCTGTTCCACAATCAAATAACTGTTACCTTCAGTTATTATGAAAATGCTGTACATATTAAAAATAAATTTGACTTTCTATCATCTAAATGCCTTGAAACTGGCCTCTGTCTCTTTAAGAACCTCCTACCATTTCTGACACTCCCACTTACAATGCCTCAGCATTCCAGGTGGGAGCTTTGGGTAAATAGGCGGWGCTTTGTACCAACAAGCATTTCGGCAGCTCCAAAGGTCTACCACAGGAGATTCAAGGATTTCTCAAACATGTATGAATGAGTCAAAGCAACACTGTGTGTTTTTAATTAGGGAATGACATCAGAACATGATTTAAAGCAAAAAAAATCTATTTTGCATAATACTCATCTTTTAAAAGAAGCTGCACATAACAGATAAGCCAAGCATGAGACAAACACAACCAAGAAAATAAAAGGAACTTATGGTATCAACTAGTCGAGCAGTAGATTGATAAACTGAATCCAGTTGATTCCATAGAGACTGGTCTCACTGGACTGGTGTTGCTTCGTCTCTACAGACATTTGAATTGGGCCAAAACACACCAGATATCACAAGACTTACAGTTCTTGTAACTTAAGGCTGCAGAGAGGCTATGAGTCTCCCAGAGCTCATTCTATAAATGCATGAAAGCTCCTACTCTGACTATTATTTCCTTTGCTTTCATCTGGAGACACCGCTGCATTTGTCTGCTGTTCTCCAGAGAACTTTGCGCAAGAGTTACCAAACAAAACTCCAGCTGCCCTGATGCTCTATAGTCAACAGCAAATAGAATAAAGAGATGGCTTGGGTTAACCTGTTGCTGTTTTTTGCATGTGCATTACAGAAATTAGGTTTTAAAAGTTTTACTCAGACGGGCCAAATGGGAGAACAAGTGATTCAGATGGAGGTGATTGGAAACGATTTTTATCTTTGTCCAGTTGTAAAGCTATCATCATTAAAACTGATCGTTCAAATACATGAAAAAAAAACCATTCTAACAGTAGATCTGACATTGTTAAAACGCTGTTATTTTAGAAACTGCTTCAGTTTGTCTCGTTATTCAGAGCGCTGATAGTCTGTGTCGTATAAAAGAAAAGATGAAAACTTTAGGGATGTTTCATCTCAGGAAAAAAAGATAAGAAAAAAATTGCAATACCTTTGTAATAAGTTTTTATTTGAAACAATTGCTCTGTTTTGTAACCTGGAGGAGTTCATGGTTATACTGTTTGAGACAGAAACCTATATCCTCATCCTTTTTTATGAGGAAATCTAAACATTTTCCTTTTTTTATTTTGTCATAAGCATTTTACTATAAACACACAACTTTTAAATTGAAGCCAAACCAAAAGGAAAGACTTTCTCATCCATGTATTATCTGTGCCGGTTTCCTGCTTAGGATCATCAGAAGATAGAAATCAAAATTGGACGGTCAAGGTTTTACAAAAAATTCGAAGATGGAATCAAAAACTGCAATCAGTGCATTTCTAGTCAAYAATATACTTCATTATCCAAGGTTCTCAAACACTGGTTGCTGCCCATCTAGGGACTGCAGAYCCTCGACTGATCGACGTGACGTGAACAAACACCAAATCTACTCTGATCTCGTTTTATTAAAACGAACATTTATTGATTTGTGACTTAAACAAGCCATCYATAAACACCAACTCTAGGACAGCTGTTATATAAAACTTCACTTCCAAGGCTTTAGTTGCAGGAAAAGCTAAACAGATAGGAAATAGGAGTCCTTATCAGATGGGACCAGACTCACTTTTTGCTTAAACKCATTTTATCTGACGTTAACCTGCATCTTCATCGGGTCTGGATTTCAGGATTTCAGGATTTTTGTCCTCTGTAAGTTGGAGTTTTTCCACACTGAAAGCTTGTAAGTTTCTCTATTATAACTTCTTACTGTCCTCGGTTTACTTAATTTGTTACTGGTCCGATGAGAAGCTCCATTTCGAAATGGACAAAAGTTCACAATGAAACTATGATGAAACAAGAAAGAAAGAAAACAAGAAAAACTGCTCACTTAAGAGCAGAGGAAACTTCGAAAGGAAATATGAAGTCAAAATCCAGAATATTATTTCAGCTGACTTGTTCAAATCCTTATAAAAACACACGAGTTGGAGCTCAAACGCTTGATGTTATTTCAACTCCCATAAAGCTTTAATCAGTGATGTTAGTCAGTGATGGTTAACCATAAAAAGCTTCGGTGAGGATTTTGAACATCACTATAGTAGGCTACCAATTGGTTTTGAAAAATAATCTAAAACATGACAAAACTGTAGAGAGTTTAATTTCTTCACATCCGATCAAACATACCTCAGTCATCGATGCTGATACTGATAAATGTGATCGTCTTGTCCAATAATCCAAAGCTAGATCCTTAGTTTTGAACAGAGAATTCCTCAATTTTGAACACAGAATCTCTCAGGAACATTTCAGAGAAATAACCAAAGGATGTAGGATCTTTATATAAAATAACCCGCTACAAGACAAACCAGATCTCCTTTGTTTCTTAAATAACTTCATTTTTATTGAGATAACTCTAAAGAAGAAGGGTGGGGGGGCTCTCATCCACATGTTTAGCTTTAATCATGCTGTAGATATGCTGTCCAGGCGCGCTGCCTCCTATTGGACTGCAGAGGAGCGATGTTAACATTCAGAGCAAGTATATGGAGAAAACAGCACTTGCTCTTTTACTGGACGTGGAGAAACCCAGATAAGAAAGAAGAGATGTTGTTCGCGGAAGAATATGGAGGGAAAAAAAAGATGCTCTGGTGTGGAGGAAAACTTCAGAGCTTTTGTTAAGTAGAGACAGGATCCAAAAAACTTACCACCCCAGTGTCCAGCTGCTCGGTAGTCAGAGAAGGAGCCGCTCGCGTTTCGGGTAACAAACCCAACATCTGCAGCAGCAGCAGCAGCATCTGACAGGAGATAGTCCTCCTCCGCTTGAGAAGAACGACAGAAACCATGATGCCCTATGACAGGTGGGTCCTGCAGGGCTCAGACACCGACCCCCGACAGTCGCATCCACGGACTCAGTCACAAGCCGACACGGGAGGAGGGGGGGTTGGAATTCAGTCTACCTCACTGTTGAGCGCAAACACATAAAACACATGAACACCGGCGCYCGTGAACCAAACACTGAAACGGCGCTCTGTTCCGCACGAAAACTTGCGATGCAATAAAAAAGAATAATAATAATAAAAGAGAATAAAAACAATTCTGGTTTTCACTGAGAGCTAATGGAACTGTAGATTATCTCAAAGTCCGCCAGAGGTGGGACGATCCCTGTGGTAAGACGCGCGAGCTCCTCCAGGCAGCACGAGGAAATAGAAGTGGAGGGGGGAGCAGCAGCTGGCAGCTGCGCGCGATTGAGTGGCGCGCGACAGATTCAAGCCAGACACAATTACGCGTTCAGTTTCCGGGAGAAAACCTCAAAATAAAACCAAATCATTAGGTCGACTGAGTCACGTGACCTATTTATTTATTAAGTTTCTAATTATTAAAACCATAACATCTCAGGAGCACGAGCCGTGTAAATGTCGCGCGCATTTGCGTGCTCGTGTATTCTGCGTCTGTTAGCAAAATATCCAATGAAGCACTGGCTGGATTTTAATTAATCTCAGAAAGTGAGCCCTGGATGGACATCTAGCGATTAGCTAATATTTAATATTAAACCTGTTGGCCGCCACAGCTGCCTACTCAACCAATTAAATATTATATTCAGGTGATTTATTTTTAAGTTGCTGAAAGGCATTCACAAAATATTATTTGAGCTCATACTTCAAGCAAGATTGGCTACTTTTAAATCCTAATTACCTTTACAGTCAACTGTGCATGTCTGTTAGCAAAATATATCACATGGATCAACAACTGAATAGTAATGAAACTTTCAAAAAGGAATAAGTGAATTTTATATACAATGTATTTCCTTTTGGACTCAACTGGATTCAAATGGCCACCAAAACTAATTCACTTAAACAAACACAAAAATCAGACAGTTGTACAAACACTGAGCTAAAAAAAAAATCATATTTCTGAGTGTTAAAGTTTAATCACTTACTTTTGTCTTTTTATGAGAACTACAATAAAATTGTCACAAAACAAGGAAGGGATGATGATGATGATGATGATGATGATGATGATGATGATGATGATGATGATGATGATGATGATGATGTATCTATTTCAGTATTTTACCACCAATCAGTCAGGGGGTTTTAGGTGGACATTATCTGGAATATTGCATGTTGTTGCACATTTTGAAAATACACTTGTGCTTTTTTAATAGGTTCAACAGAGCATGGTAAACTGACCACATGAAGGACTGACAACTGGGCAAATGGAAGCTGATATGATCAAATACACAGAGGGATCACAAAGATGAGGAGCGGGTGTGACAAAAGGACAAGAAGACAAGACCAACAAAGATGCTACAAAATAAAACAAGAAGTAAAGTTGCACGACTTCGCATGTAAGTTAAACTTCACTGCCCAATCATTTTAAAAAGCTAATCCAAACTGATTATTCAGGTGAAGAACATAAGGAAAAATGTTACAGTACGCCAACTGAAGGACTAAATCACCTGTAACCACTGATTAGATGAACTGAAGTGTTAAACATCTGTAAAAATGAAATGGCCTACAGTGAAAATAACAACTTTAGATTTTATGCATTTCCCACAGCAGTTCAAAGAGTGATTTATTGATTTAAAAACAAAGAATGTGTCTACAATTAATTCTAATTAATTGTTTTTTTTAGTTGTAGTCTATAAAGACATTTACAAAAAGTGAATCACCACGCGCTTTCATGTTAATGCACTTTTATTTTGAAATTTGATCCTTAAGCTTCCTTTAGGTTAAAATGGGGTTTTTCTTTGACTTTATTCAAACAGCTGTGAGAGTGTGTGATTTCAGCCAGAGGGGTCTATTATTTAATCTTTTTGGACCTTAATCATGAGTCATCTCAGACAAAAAGTCATCGCCCTAAAGATAGTAATTACCTATGGGCTTTATTCTCACTGTGACAGCATGTCAGATATGTGTGTGTGTGTGTGTGTGTGTGTGTGTGTGTGTGTGTGTGTGTGTGTGTGTGTGTGT